CGAGTCTCCTCACTGGGACTGGATTTGGTGGGAGGAAGTGGACTGAAGTTTCAGCAACCTCAAAGGAAGAGTTCTGAGGACCTGACATCTCAAAACTGAGAAAAGTGTACTGTCCCTTCCACGTAAAGGGGTGTATCTGGCCTTAGCCTTCAACCCATCGAGTGTTTACTGTGCAGGATCCATGCTGACTGCATGGCCTCCTCACACACAACTCACTCCAGTGAGGGGCCGGGACACGAATCCTGCAACTCTGGGCCGGCTCTGCGCCAGCTGGCCTGCTGGAGGGTGAAACGCAGAGTCTACAACTTATCTGAAAGGAGCAAGTGTTTATTGCTTGACTAACAGAACATAAAGCCAGGCAGAAGTCCCTGGGCGATGATGGCCGAACTCATGCTGTGTGCCCTGTGGTCCTTCATCTTCTCAGCACTCAGTATGTTTTCTTCTAAAGATATCAGACATTTACTTTGATCATAAATGCACTCCACGGGTGAATAAATAAATGGACTATCTTTTAATGCCCCCACCCCACCCCATGTTCCTTTAAATAGAAAAAAGTGCTAAATGTCTCTTCGGAGCCTATTTGGCCATAGTTGTCCCACCTATGGTTTTAGAAACGGTCTGCAGCTTGATGTCCTGAGAGCCTTTCCTGGCCTCCAGCCCCCTGTTAAGAAGTCCTACTGATACTGCCGATAGTCTCCAAACGGTGAGGGCGGCAACTGGGCTGAAGGCAGCTGGGAGGGGTCTTCAGCAAACTGAGGACCTGCGATTCAGAGAAAAGAATTTTAAAAACCACTTGAATATTACATAATTAAGAACAAGTCTCTGTAGAAAGTAAAGCAATCAACTCAATGAAAATGCTGTGTACATTAGAGTGTAACCTGAATTTCTCTGTAAACCTTCGACTTTGGAGTAAGACTGACCTTCCTCATGCTCCAGAAGGAACAGCTCTAAAGTGTAAAAACAAACTAGAAAGTGTTTGGTATACAGTACAAACTCCAGAATAATGGCTGAAAATCAGAAACAAGAGCATGAGGGTCCAGGTCACCCAGCTATCCTGCTGGTGCTTAAAACTTGCCCCAAAGACACTGAATCTCTCGCTAGGTGCCCTGGGGAAATCAAATCAAACTGGGAGCTATGATCTCCTAAGTCTATGCTGAATCTCTTCCACGCTCTAAAAATAATTTCCAACATGTCTCACTATTCTGCACACTGCATTCCCCAGAGGCCAGGTCCAGGCTTCCCGACCATAATCTGTGTCCTGCAACGTCGAGTTGTCTACAGCTACAAGGAACTGCACGAGGTAACAGCTGAGTACGTGCTCCATGACAACCTGAGGGTTGCTCAGCACACAATTTCACTCTCCCCCAATAAGGGAACAATTAACAACAGAAACCCCTTCCCCGAAAACTCAAGTGACCCTCCCAAACAGGAGTCACTTCCCACTGCTCTTCAAAGCAAGGAACACAATCAAGTAATCTCATTTATCCGTCAAAGTGTTGGTCTATCTGCCCACCAGGATGTAAGCCTCATTCACCACTATATCCCCAGCACCTAGGACAGTGCCTGGCAAATAATGAACAGTGACCAGTTGTGGACTGATGACCATTCTTGTTATACATCTTCAAGCACCTCTAAAATGGCCAGCAATTCCTTAGAATGAGCCCTGATAGAACCTCAGAACTATAAGGAAGATCAAAAGCAAATTATTTTACCAAAGCATTTTGACTGTGGTCAGACACTGAGTCCACATCTGGCTTTTCAAACAGAACCTGAGCCTATTTCAATCCTCATGACCCAAAGCATATTAATACATAAACCGCAAACTACCACGCTTTAGCAGGCAAAATACATTTTCTTTAAACATCAGGAAAACATTCCAGAACGTTTGAGTGATGGCATTAAGCAGAAGACAGACTCACCATTGGGAAACTGTGCAGAGGCAAATCTTGTCAACAGGATACCAGCTCCTTCAATTAAAGCTAGAAGAATGCCGCCCATTGCAGCTGACCCAACCATGGCCACTGGTCCGTCTGGATACATCGACAACAAAGAGATGACATTAACAGAAATCTGGTTTAATTCAAGATGCGGTAAAGGACAGAGCTGTCTATGTGGCTACATTCCACCCCCATTCCCAAACCCTCTTTCTCACTGGCTGAGACAAGGGGTCAAAAAACTATGGGCCACAGGTCAAATCCAGCTCACTGCCTGTTTATGACAACAAAGTTTTATTGGAACAGCCTGTGCTCATTCATTTATTGTTGTCTGTGGCTTTTTTCATGCTATGATGGCTGAGCTGAGTAGCTGTGACAAAAACCTCACGATCCACAAAGCCTACAATATTTACTCCCTGGGCTCTTTACAAAAAGTTTGCTGACTTCCTGGCCTGAACTAAGCCCAAAGGAATTTTGGGTTGCTCGCTGCCCCAAAGACCCAGAAGATGGTTCTATGTACTTCCTCCATACAACCCCGTGTGACAGATATGGTTATTAATTCCAGAGAACTGAGGAGGAAGACAGAGCACAGAAAGTCTACATATGCCCCATCACTCAGCTAGTAAGTGGTGGAACGGAGCCAGAGCTGCTCTTAACCAGTGTAACGCACGGGTCAGTGCTCCACGCTCTCACTCTCAAACACTCCTAACACACCCTCCCCCACAATCACCATATACATTCATGCTACGCCAAATTAAGCAATGCTCCACTTTATATATTCCAGATGTCAGTAAAATAAGACAGAGGCGGCTTCCCGAAGTCGTGTGCCCATGAGTGTGTCTACATGAGCACTTACTTCTCGCAGCCAGGATGGCACCTGTCAAGGCTCCGCTTGTGATGGAGTTCCAGGGGTCTTCCTTCCCTCTGACTTGAACCAGACTGCAGTCGATCATGGAAAACAGGCCTCCCCAGACTGCAAAACTACCTATTTTATTTAAAAACAAAACAATACAAATTTTACTGTTTGATCTTTTTTTTAAAGTTAATTATTTTTTTTTTAAAACATCACTCAGCACCAAAAGAAATCACCAGCCCCTTGCTGGGGGTTTAAGTCACTATGGCACTCTGCAGGGGACAATGGCCTTGATGTCTTGGTACTTTTTCATCTCACACTTAAAGTGTTATTATAATAAAAAATAAGTTTAAATAATACTCACTATTCTTAAAACTCTCACACTCCAAACAAACACATGCAAACGTAAGTTTCAATAAGCTCTGAACCATAGTCAGAATACTTCTCTTTTCAACAAAGCCTGGGCTGCATTACATCAATTTAGAGTTTTAGGCTTGGAAAACTCAAGCCTAAAGCAATCAGCCAGGCCTGACTTCAGGTGACTCCAAACAATGGGCTTCTGCTAGTAAACACAGCAGCCACTTGCTCCTGCTCTTCTATGGCTCCACCCACCTCCACTTTTCTTTTTCTCCACTGTCACTGAGCATCTCCTCTACTGGACTAAAAGAGATCCAGCTCTTCTGGAAGGTATTCCAGGTACAAGGCCCTACATGCCAATGTGGCATATGAATGATACAGTTATAACCATGGAGCACAGCGGGGAGTACTTGACACATAGCAGGCACTCAACAAATGGTAGCTATTAGCTACTGTCCTTTAAAAGAAAAATATTTTAATAACGAAGAAAAGACTATTTCTTGTGACCCACAAGATTACTAAGGAATGACGAAGGTCTTTCTCCAGCTTGGCTGTATCTGAATAAGTAAACATAACCTTCAAGCTTTTTTATCATCTCTGCTCCCAGCTTCTGAATAACCAACTGTAGAAAGTGCAATGAATATAATCTTTTCGAACTTTGCATTGACCTCTGCACAGTGTCCAAAAGCTGCCTTGGAGAGGAGCCCAATCAGGTCCATTGGATTCTCTCACAAAACCCCAACCATTCCCCTCACGTTCTCTCAGCCTTATGTTACCCCAGGAGCCATCACTCCTGATGCTCACAAACCCGAGCCTGAACACACTGTCTTCCTTCTGGGTAAGAGGAGAAAAGTAAACACACCACTGAGCATGCGAAGGACAGACAAGATTTTCAAATGGTGCAGTAATTCAAGTTAATTTCTGAACAAAGAACCTACAGGGACATTTACTTGTAACAAACTGTTAGACTGAACTAATGCCGGTAACTGGTATAATCTACAACAAAAGGAAAAAAACAGAGCTTCATCTTCAAACAAACAGGAAAAGCCTGGAGCACAAATGGAAAACCTGCTTTCATACCTCCCAACTGCGGAGCCCTGGTTTTAATAGCTGTCAAACTCCCTCGTAGTCGGTGGTTTACTCCCTATGGAAAAGCAAACAAAAATGTATTAGAAGCACAATACTCCCAACCCACTCATGGGGCCATCAGTGATATCAGCAGACCTCGGTTTCAGGTGATGATGAAATAAGACACTCACCACTGGAGAATTGCGAAAACCTTTGACTGCCTGAAAGATGCCACCACCGATGGTGCCCATCGTAAAGGCCCCACCACAGTCATCCACAATTCGCCAGGGGCTAAGAACAGGAAAAAAGAAAAAGAGAGAGAGAGAGCTTATTTCTCATTCTCTCATTCATAAACCACAACACCGTCTTGGCTAACACAGCAGGGTCCTCTGCAACCAATACACATTTGGCCCAGAACACGCAAACAAAGACAAAGGATTCTCAACATATCCATGTGTATCCAGCCCCAAGTCACCTAAGCTAGAAGGAATGGAACCAGTTAATACTCTATCCATTCGTTTAACAACCGGTGGATCCGTTGTAAGCTGGGCACTGTGCAAAAGCAAATAAACAATGTACGATATAAATAATGCGGGAAATTATGTTATCATCAAGAACTTCCCCCATCCCTGCCCTGACACAGTGCGACAGGTGATGAGGCCTGGTTTTTCACTTGTGACCCCAGGCAGCCTGAGGCCTCGGGACAGCAACCATGCCCTTTACGATGACCTCTCTGTGTGTCTGACTGATTCGTGCTTTTACCCCGTCAACCTAAAAACATGCCGAGCTGGGGGCCCGCCCTCAATAAATGCTGAATGAATGAGCCAATTCCCGCTCATGGCTTCGGAGACCACACGCTACCACCTTTCATTTCCCAGGGAATTTCTGCCCCCTAGTCCCCCGAGACAGCGTTCCAAGCACGACAACGAGGCTCCCGCCTACGGGAGCTCACGCAGAGCCTTTGGGCACGATCGTGATCCGCGCCTGTGAAACGCCCCGCCCTGCGGGCCCGCATCACCGCACCGAAGCTCGGGAACGGCGCCCCGAGGCCCGGCTGAGCGAAGCGCCGCCCGAGGTCACCCCGGCGGGCGGGGGTGGGGCAAAAGCTGAACCCGCACAAGGTCGGCGGGGCCCCGGGGCGAGCCGGCCGGAGGCTCCACCACGCCCAAGCCTGGACCGCTCACCGTCCGCCGCAAGGTCACGCGGGGTTGGGTGCGGGCGG